GGGGTCCTCGGCCTGCGGACGCCACTACTCCTAGCAGCTTCTGCCTGCGCCAACGGGACCGCCGCCCCCGCGCGCGCCTGCGGCTGCGGCGGCGGCTGAGCAGCGCCCGGCTGCCTCTGCCGCGGCTGCGCCTGCGCCGGCGGCGGCGGCCGCGACGGGGGCGCCGCTGCCGCCGCTGCGGGCGCCTGCGCTGCTGCCCGTTCCGCGGGGAAGTGGCCGGACGGCGGCGCGCGCCGCTGCGCCGCCGTCGCCGCGCCCGCGCTCGGGCCCGCCGGTGGCAGGTCGCGGGAAAAGGTGACCTGTGGGGGCTGCAGACTCGCAGAGCCGGCCGCCCTCTGCGCAGAGCGCGCGCGCTCCGGCCCCTCCCTCGGCGCCCCCGGCCCTGCAGCCGCTGCGGCGGGTAGCCGCGCCAATTGCTGCTGCCAGAAGGCCTCCCGCGCTCCGCTCGCGTCGGGCCGGCCGGGCGACATAGATCTGACGCCGCCATCTGCTCGGCCGGGGGACAGCACCCGCGCCGGCGGGGCGGCTGCCGCGTCCTCATCATATGCAAATCCCTCGGACCCTCCCCTGCCGCGCCGTCCGCATGGCGCTTCTTGCGGGTACACGGCGGTCCCGCCGCCTGCATCCTCCTCCCACGCCGCGGCCCCCGAGCCGTCGCGCCGGCGCCCGTCGGACGTGGCGGCGCCGTGGCGGCGCTCCTCGCGCGGCGCCGGCGGCGTCGCCGCCTGCCAGTAGGCCTCGCGCGCGGAGGGGCTCACGCGCCCGGGGGACGGCGACATGGGATGCGTCCGCGGCTGCTGCTGTTGCTGCTGCTCTTGGTGTGCTGCATATGGTGAAGGGGAGCGCTCACGCTGTTCCCTGGGCTGTTGGTACACCCCCTGGTGGAGGGGGGCCCCCTCGTAGTCATAGCTGCCGGTAGCCGCCGGGTAGCTGCTCGTCGTGTAGCCGCCGGCGTCGTAGCCGCCGCTGTGGACGCTGTCGCCGCCGTGGCGGTGACTGCTGCTCAGCGCGGCGGCGCCTTCGTGGCGGCGGCTTGTGCTGCGGGGGCGCTGCTGCTGCTGCTGCTCCTGAGGCGGCGGCAGCGGCGGCGGATCCTCGTAATCATCAAATGCCGGCTCGGGCCCGCGGTGGGCGTGCTGCCAGGCGCCTGAGCCTCGTGGGTCATTCGAACGTGAGTGGTGCGGCTGCGACGAGGGCAGCCACGAGAGGGAGGGCGAGGCAGAGGCGTCGTTCGGGCGAAGCGGGGCAACGAGAACGCCCTGCAGGCTGCATCACGGCGCGGGTCGCCCTCTTGCACGGGCAGCCCTTCGTCCCGCGCCGATAGACGTGGCGGCTGCCGTCCTGCTCACGGGCACCGGCACGCCCCTCTCACATGTTCATAGCTGCCGTTGTCGCCGTCGGCGGCGCCAGCGCGCGTCCGGCCGCTTCCGGTGCGGTACGCGCCTCCATGCACCTCTGGGCGCCCCACTGTACCCGCCGCCGGTTGTGGTGACGCCGGCCCCGGGTGACGGGGCCTTGAGGAGCGCCCGTAGCCTGGTTCAGCTGCGGCATGGTACAGAAGAATTTGGGCTGCTGCGGGAACGCGGTCTCTCGCCGCCTTTGGGCGAAGGACCAAAGGAACGCGTGATTGCTGCGGGGCCCTGGCGGCGCACACACGCGCGGCACGTGCTCTCCGCCCGCTCTTCCCTGTGGCTCGAACCACCCAAACTTTGGGGTCAACATATGATGTGGTCATGTACGCAGATGCGACACGCTACTGTGTATCGAACACTGCCAGACGCTCACCTTCATCGCCGCTGCTCCATCGCACATTGTCGTCGGTGCGACGCGGCATCGCCGCACTCCAGCCTCCTCCTCGCGCTCGCTTCCCAAAGATTTATCAAGAAGGGAAACTTCCAATCACCGCTCGCCCTAGGCAGCTCTGCGCGCGTTCTTCTCCATCGCTGCGCCCAGGGAATTGCAATCGAGCAAAAGTGCCTGTGATTTGTTACCAAGTATATTCGAAGTCTATTTCAGTAGGCATGGTCCGTTCGGACCTGCACTGCACATTTGCGAAGCCGCGGGGCAGCGATGGACCAAACCGCCACGGAAACAGCTCCGACCTCCGGCCAGCTGGCTGGCTCAACGCGTTGTATGTCTTTAATAAACAACTCGATGTGCGTGAGCTGCTTGCATGAAGGCAGGTAGGGCACTGGCCGCTGAGGTGGCGGCATTGCGCAGTACAGCAAGGCAGCTCCCAACCCACTGAGGCATGCAAAATCGTCAGCGACAGGGCCACAACACAACTGTGTTACCAGCACACTGCTACGCCATTGGCGTGAGATGAAAATTCAACATTGAGAACACACGTCACAAAGCACGCTGCTGCACACAACACGACAACGGGTCAAGACTGGTGCTTGGCGCAGCACCTCAGCCCTCACAGCTCTCAACACTCGACCCCCGCCTCACGAAGGCCGTCACAAAACCCCGGGAGCAGGCGCCCCAGCGCGGCCGCCGCGCGCAGCAACACGGCGTCCTCTGTGCTGTCGATCCCACGATCAGCGACTGCGCCGAGGCGGTCAACATGGTCGCTGCCGCCGGCGGCCGCCCTCTGCTGCTGCTGCTGCTGCTGCTGCTGCTGCTGCTGCTGCTGCTGCTGCTGCTGCTGCTGCTGCTGCTGCTCAAATGGATCTGCAGGCAGCCCCCCAACCCCGCCAGCCTCCGCGCCAACCGCAGCCGCAGCAGCAGCCGCCGCCGGCCGCCGCTCCCGCGCGCGCGCCGCAAATGCCGCCACCAGCTGCCCCCGCCGCCGCCCCAGCTGCTCCCGCAACCGCGGCGCGTCGCCGCCGCCGCCGCCGCCGCCGGCGTCGCACCACTGCAGCAGGTGCAGCAGCGTCGCGCGAAGCTGGGAAGTGAGGCCCGGAAGGTACCTAAAATTCGGGAAATCCCCGCCGCCCTCGTCGTCGTCGGCCGCCGCAGGGGCGGCCGCAGCCGCCTCCCTTTCGACGCTGTGCCCCTCCGGCTGCCTCCCGCCGCCCGCCTTCCCGCCGCCCTCGGCACCGTCCAGGGCTGCAAGCACGATAAGCACTGTGTCGGCAAACGCGTCTCCATAGACCCGCCTCTCCTGCGGCGCCTCCAGCGCGGCCGCTGCGTGGGTGCGGATTTTGAAGTTTAGGGAGTCTCGAACCAGCATCAGCAGGGCAAGCAGCAGCGCGGGCAGCCGCGCGGCGGCCTCGGGCGCGGCGGCGAGGAGGCCCGCGTTGCGCAGCGCGCCCGCGGCGGCGCAGCATGCGTTCCACTGGGTCTTCATGCCGCCTGTCGCAAGGCAGGACTGGAGCGCGGCGAGCGCCTGCGACAGCTCGCTCGAACGCTGCTGCCGCTGCTGCTGCTGCTGCTGCTGCGCTGCTGCGCCAAGCGGCGGCCACGAGGGGCGCCACGCCGCGAGCAGATTGCCGAGCGCACGCACGCCGTTGGCGCGCGCCTTGTCAGCGTCGTTGGTGGCGGCGAGGGCGGCGCCAAACAGCAGCGACAGCTGCTCTCGGGGCAGCGGTGCGGCCGGTGTCCGCTGCCACTGCTGGTCTTGCTCTTCCTGCTGCCCCTGCTCCTGCTGCTGCTGCTGCTGCTGCTGCTGCTGCTGCTGCTGCTGCTGCTGTTCTTTTTGCTTGTTTGACGTGTGCGCATCGAGCACCTCCTGTGCGGCGCGCAGCGCATCGCACGCGTTGGCCACAGCCCACGCCGCCGCCTGTCGTACGCTGGCTGCGGGATCGCCTGCGGCCGACGCCAGTGGCGCCAGCAACGCGCTGCTCTCGCCCCGCTCCCGCTCCCAGTTGCTGCCGCCACCGTCGCCGCCGCCGCTGCAGCCGTCGCCGCCGGGAGGGAGGGCCGCGATCGCCGCGAGCGCCCCGAGCGCCTTGCACGCCGCCGCGCGCACGGCCGGCGCGCCGTCCGACGCCGCGGCGCGCGCGGCGGCGGAGAGCAGCGC